GTTGAGCTCAGACTCGAAGCTTCACGGCAAATTCTGTGGAGCAGAGAAACCAGAGGTCATCACCTCCCAGCAGAACAACATGAGAATTGAGTTTAAGTCTGATAACACCGTCTCCAAGAGAGGCTTCAAGGCTCATTTCTTCTCTGGTGAGTTGACTGATGATTTAGGAAGCATAGAAGGAACTGCAGAGTAAATGTATCTGTTATGGAGGGACTCAAACGCAGGACTCCTTGGCTCAAAGGAAGAACAGAGGGTTTATTCACAAACACCAGGTGAAATGTGCAACAGTGACAAAATGCTATATACAAGGATGCGGGGATCGGGGCTCCAGGGAATCCACAGGGAAAAGCAGGGGAACACTCTCACTCCTCTTCAGTCTCTCTTGGTGTCTCACCAGTCTCTCACTCCTCTCTCGCACCAGAATCTCTGTAGGCAACAAGGGCAGGTCCACGGTGTCTGTACACAGGAAACAATGCGTTAATGCAAGAAGCAAAATCACAGGAACTAGACTGCAGTGTCCTAGCCAGGATTTCACTAACACAGGTCAAGCATCGAGCCAGCGAAGAGCAGTCTTGCTTCTTCCCTTTAGTAGAGGCCAGTTAATGAGACGCAGGTGTTCATCTCGCAGGTATGTAGGCCAAAGGCGGGAGCCCACAATGAACTCCACCCAGGCGACAGAGGGAGAGAGAAAAAAGAGAAAACAACACAGAATTTCTCAGGCGGATCTTCTGGACCGTGACAATAACAGTATGGTGCAGGGAAAACGGCAAAACCAGAAAGATGCAGTCCGCTGACTTCACAATGAGATATAATGCATCACAGAGATATAATCTTACACAACCTTACCCAGAATGCTTAGTCTTCGTGTGTAAACACATTCTTCCTCTTGTGTATTTTTATTATTCACATCAAAATCTGAGGATTTTCTCTTCTTTTACAGTTCTTTATTTTTGCCCCTTTAATCAAGCTAGTCAAATAATATAACAATAAAATTAAAGCATAAACTTTCAATAGAACAGAATAGAATAGCTACTTTATTGTGATTCAGAACACAGACCAGTTTGTGCACATCAGAAAAAAACATTTGGTGCATTTACTCACCATTGGACTGTACGGCTTAAATCATAATACAATCAAAATCTAAAGATTTTCCAGAATATGGAACTGAAAATGATCATAATAGTTCCCCTTTTAAAGTCTGGCTAATGATCAGATTACATGTTTTTATGCAATATCATCAGATAAACAGCTACCTGAAGTTATTTACTTTTCCTCAGCAACACTAAAAAGCACGTTTAAACTCTGTACAGTACGACAATGTATGATTTCTAGCAGCCATATAATCCTAAAATCCTGTGCCTAATGTAGCGGACATTTCCTTCTTGAGGAAAGGCTTAATCTCAGTCTGACCCAATAAGTTCTGCATGTTTTCTGATGCCTGCTTTCACACATTAGAGTGTGGGAAAAATTCTATTCTGATTATTTCAGATTATTCTGAAATGTATTATGTAAACTGCCTAGAGTACCAGGATCAGCAAGCTCTATATAACTTTTGGGAATTATTTTTACATCAGTCAAATCCTTATAAATGATATATACTATGTGTAGTAGTGTCAAAATAAAAAGCAAACTTACAAATTACTTCTACAATATCTCAATGTTACTGTTTGTCACTGGAATTTGTTGCTAGTGACAATAAAGTTTCTATTGTATTCTATTCTACTCTATTCTATGTCCGCAGATATAGATGAGTGCTCCAAAGGTAATGGAGGCTGCCAGCATGAATGTGTAAACACCTTCGGGAGCTACAGCTGTCAGTGCCGCAGGGGCTTCATGCTGCACGACAACAGGCATGACTGCAAGGAAGGTGCAGTATGTCCACTGTTCACTCATCAGTGTGATGTATGGCCTTATATATCCTTACTTTTCTCTAGTGGACACATGAAGCTATCGTTTGTGATTCACTTACTATCTAAAGATGAAGTAATCTCCTAGAGGGAACACACCCTTTACCAGCTGCTGCATATTTACAGACAAAAGTTTGACCTTAGGACTATTTATTAATAGCCTGAGTGGGAAAGTAGGATTGCTTAAGGGCAGCTTTAGTTTTGCTTTCATTTTGACAGTTAATATGTTCGGCCTGTTTTCCACAGCATGACCTCAGAGGATGCTTGTGCTGGAGAAAAGGAAATGATGTGCAGCTGTCATTGTTTTGCATCCTGCTTTGTTTTTGTTTGGGTTTTTTTACAGCGGGATGTGATCATGTGATAAACAGTGTGTCCGGCACCATCGCCAGCCCCAACTGGCCTGACAAATATCCCAGCAAGAAGGCTTGCACCTGGTCTCTTTCTACAACCCCGGGCCATCGAATCAAACTCGTATGTCACGATGCCAAAATTAAAGCTGTTCAAAACCATTTATATCGTTTTAAGTTTAACTCGAAACAATTTCCAGATTTTTAATGAGGTCGACATGGAGGCTCATCTGGAGTGCGCTTATGATCATCTGGAGATTTATGACGGAAGAGACAATCGCGCCGCGACTCTGGGACGGTTTTGTGGCACCAAAAAGCCTTCTCCGGTCATCTCCAGTGCCAACAAAATGTTCCTGCGTTTCTTCTCCGACAACTCTGTGCAGAAGAGAGGGTTTGAGGCTTCGTACAGAGCAGGTGAGCAAACTACAGTGGCCCTGAGAAGTCAAACCTTCTGCAACATAAGAAAACACAAAAGCAAATAGAAAAATGCTACAAAAGCACTCAAAACACAACAAAGGTTAAATAAAGGACAACAGAAAAAACACAATAACAAACACAAACGCGTTTTTGGAAAAACACCAATGTGAGTGAACAGCTGCAGAAGTGACAAGCTAACAGTTGCTTTGCTAACAGCAAACATGTGTGTACGGTGTTATATGAATCATAACACTCCATGAATCCTTTGAACACGTCTCAGTGAAAGCCTTCCCATGTTTTGGTCTCCATCAGCTCCACAGCTGTTAAAGTCTCCTCAAAAACACTTGAATCTTTGAATCCTTTGTGTTGGATTCAGTTTCCATTTCCAACTTCCATTGTGTTTTGAGAGATTTTGTTTTTTTCAGTTGTCTTTGTGTTCTAGTCAACTTCTATTGTGTTTTATTCAGCTTCTATTTTACTTTGTTCAGTTTCCTTTGTATTTTATTCAATTCACCTTATGTTTTGTAAGATTTTCTTCAACTTATTTTGTGTTTTGATTGCTTTTACAGTGTTTTCTGTTTGTCTGTGTTTTCTTAAGTTGTTTTGCATCTCAGGGCCACTGTAGTAAACAGACTATAAAATACTGCTCTGCTGAAAAAGAAGAAAAAAACCCCAAGCAAAAATAGAGTAAAATGGTGTTTTGAAGACAGAATAAAAGCTCAAAAATGTCACAATTCAGCTGCATTCCTTCCTAACTTTTATGAGTTCCTCTTTTTGACCCTCTAATTTTGTGGTTGTGGATTCTCAGAATGTGGAGGAAGCTTTAAAGCAGAGGTCAAGACAAAAGATCTGTACTCCCATGCCCAGTTTGGAGATAACAACTACCCTGGAGGCTCTGACTGTTTGTGGGTGGTAACTGCTGAGAAGGGTTACGGTGTCGAGATCATCTTCCAAGTGTTTGAAATTGAAGAGGAGGCTGACTGTGGGTACGATTATGTGGAGCTATATGACGGCGCTGACACCAAGTCTCCCAGGCTGGGACGATACTGCGGATCTGGGGTAGGGCTGAATAAAATCAGTCTCGCTCACTCATTTCTATTTTTTATTTATTTGTTTATTTACTTGTCTGTATCGGTTGCTTTTCCTCAGGCCCCAGAGGACGTGTACTCAGCTGGAGACTCCATTGTTCTAAAATTTCACTCGGATGACAGCATCAATAAAAAAGGCTTTCATGTACGCTACATAAGCACAAAGTTCCAGGACACATTACACGTAAGCAAGTGACTTTCCAAACCTTCCCCAAACCTAAATGGAGACTTCACCCCTAGCATTTGGTTGGTCACACCCATTTCCTGGCGAGGAGTGAATGCACGGGTTGATACCACAAACAACAGCCCAAACGCTTTACATTGACTTCTGTTAGACAGACTGAAGCCATGCAGAGACATTACATCTTCACTCTTCATCATCATATAGCCCTGTACCGTAACAGTTTGAATGATTTCATATATAAATATACAATCGCACCACTTGTAATGAGCTGATTGGAGCGCTGTTTTAAAATGTAAAATGTATATATTGTGATAATAGTTTGCCTTTTTATTTTAATCATAATTTCCACTGTGTCACTTTTTTCTCCCTGAGGTTGAAACCTTCATCACTTCTGTTGGATGTAGTGCAGTTTCATGTATTATATTACTTGATAAATTAACTTAATATGTATGGAAATCAGCAAAACTGTATTCTTGAATCATACCTAATCTCTTATTTAAGATTATATTCTTATCTGGCTTTGCTTTAAATTAGTTTCGTTTTTGAGTTTGTATGTCAGCCATCCTCTACAGCTTCTTGTTGTTGCTTCACAGCAGTTAAGTTTTTTTTCACCCGATCAAAAACGATTCCTTAAACTCCTGGACTACTTGCTAATCGGGAAGTTTTTCCTTTGCTGAACTTGGCATAAATGCATGCAAATTATCACCTGCTGCGTGTGGTTACAGCTGCATCACTGATGCTGAGCGTGCGGAGAGGACGCTAATGTCTTGGACAAATGTTTGATTTTTGTTGTGAACAAAGTTCCGTTTATGAAAGCTGATGGTGAATCAACCAACTAACTTTCTTTCCCAATTTCAAATTACTGAGAGATGTGTGTACGTCTGCACCTTGATGAGCCTTTTCATGGTTTCCCATCTATGACTGCAAAGATGTTTTCACAAGTAGCATCCAGCTTTGTTTGTAGTTTAGTACGAAAAACCCTCTGCACACCTGTGCCATGCCTGACATCTTTTAAATCAAAATCGATTTCACATATTTTTCTCTTGGCTACAATCTTTCTCTGCTTTGCTCTGATTATTTGGGACTTAATGCCCCCCTTTTGTTTTCTGAGCCAGATCTAATCTCGCTAATTGGGTGAACTGAGTGTATTGCGGAGACACACAGTCACATAAAATTAAACCTACTTGAAAGAGCAAGACACTGCAGTTCTTCTACCAGCCACTTGAAGCTGCATCCAAAAGCAAGAATCATGTTTACAGCACAGAGGCCAAATTGGTTTTGGCCTCTGTGCACGGTTTCCCCCTTCAGCATCACTGCAGGTGGGTGAATCTTTTTTTATAGCTAACTCATCTATCTGGATACTGGAGTTAGGGAACCTCTAGCTGCTGTGTATTACTGTTGGAACCTGTTACAAATAGAACTAGCATGCCTCGATGTGTGGTTCAGGCCACCCAAGAAGTGCTGAAGTTACTTAGAACTAATTAGCAAATATATGTGTGGATTGCACATGTACAATCTATGAATCCAGTTTGTTAACCAAGCATCCACCTACTAATCCAAATATGACATTCTTGCTCCAAAACAGCAACATGGCCATTAACATAACGCTAACATTATGGTTTCAAAATGAAGCCTAAAGCAAATGGGTAACCTGGCAGTGACAATGGCCATGTTTTAGTTATTTGTTTATTTATTTATTTTCATTTTGTCCCCCCTGCACAATCAATCATCATTAAAGGGACAGTTTTTTGTTCCAGGCTGCAAACGTGTTCATTTCAGTTCTTTGCTTGTGACCCCCTAGTGTAAAACATTCACTCATAGCGCTGCAAGTGGTTAAATAAATTAATTAATGAACTCTTAAGGGTACCATAAGGTAGTCATAGAAAGCAGAATTAAGGAGTTTGATCATGGAGGTGTTCTGTTCATTTTAATACTGGAAATAACACACTTGTGCATATAATTATGGACATCTTTTTACGTCTTTGGTACCACACATTTAGTGTAGCAGGCTTTTGATCAATATGTGCAAAGATTTCTCAGTTACAAAAATGTGCACACATACAAAAAGGCGATTTAAATTGATTTTTATTTAAGTATGTGCAAACCTAATGTTTGCTATGATGAAATAAAAAGTTTCTCCATGGTCCTTGAATGCATCACATCATCAAGTCTTGTGACTCCAGTATAATTCAGGATGTCAGTTATTTACAGAGTAAAAAAACAAAGTACTGAATGAATTAATGAATCATGCATAAAGAAGATTACATAACAGCACATTACAATAATGTCACTACAGTCAGATAACCAGACAGTTTCACATTCTTCACCGAAGCACAGCTTCTCTGAAATGAAATGGTTGACAGTAGATTCATAGTCTGCAAACTCAGCAAAGCTTAGATACACGTGTTTCTGATTTCTGATGAGATAAACTGCACAGTGCATTTGCACAGTTTCAAATCTGTACAGTAGGAACCTTTTTTATTCACATGTGTTTTTTTGCATATCTAGTCATTTTCGGTAACTGTTTGACCCTTTGTCTTCTTTTTTTTTCACAGCAGTTAAATCTTTGGCAAGAAAACTTTGAGAGGCTCATTTTCATGCACTTTGTCCAGGAAGCCCAAGTTGAAATAAGGATACAGTGTTTCAGTGAAGGTCTCCCTGAAGGTGTACAGGTGTGTCATGCTCTCTGCATTGTAGAAGGACACCAGGCCCCTCTTGTAGTCCACGTACACACCGATCCTGGCCAGTGGCTCCTCCAGTGACAGGACAGTTGGAGGGGACGTACCTGCCATGTACTGAATCCCATAAGAGAGAGAGATAGTCCAGAAGCCGTTAGCTGGAAGGGCTTTGATGACTCCCTTTCTGGGTACCGACTCCCGGGCTACCCCCACAGTCCAGACTGTGCTGCTGTAGACCTCAATCTCCCAGTAGTGACGCCCATGGGTGAAGCCCTGGCTACCCAGCAGTGACAGGGCGGCATTAAACCTGTTGGGATTGTCCTCCACAGTGTGGTTAAAGTTCTGGTATCGAACGCAGGTGAGGGAGGAAGTCAGACTGAGCCAGGGGTTGGCCGTGCTGGAGTTAAATGTAATGGAAGCTGGAACTAAAAAGAGGAGAAAGCAAAGGCAAGAGAGGAAGTTTAAGGCTAAAGATGTTTCTTTGCTGGATATTTTGATGATGGTTTCTGAGCAGTGCAGCGATTCAGGAGTCTGAGTGTCACTTTTAAGTACCTGGATAGATGCTTCCTTTCATAGATTTCCACACTCTGTACTGTAGGGGCCCTGCAAACCGGCCCTCACACAGACTGGGCGGTGTAAACACGGGTTTCTCAAACTTAAGTGGAGGCCTGTCAACGAAAGCAAAGTCAAACAATGAAACCAAAGAACAAAAACAGAGCCTTTCAAGGACAAAATATTCGGCCTCTTTCCCACGCTCACCTCTGGAGAAGTGCTTTGATGCTCTGAAATGAGACACGGGAATAAACACAGGAAAAGAGACAAAAAGACTGTAATTAGTTTTGCTGTATTTGAAAGAAGAGAGAGCTTTTTCCACATTACATCAGTGTCTGACCTCACATTATCCCACCCTGCGGGATCTCCCTGTGGCCGGGGGAAATTCCCACTGCCTTGGCCTGAGTATGGCCCGGTGCCTGAACTGAACTCATTTTTCTAGAGCTCAGCGACTGAGGCCGTTGGCATGAATCCTGTCTAAGCTCATAAATATTTGTTTGGGAAAAAAACTACAACAGTGTTGTTGTTATTTATCACGCTTTACCCTTGAAGTTTTTTCATAATGATGTAATCAAATCGACCGTCTTGCTAAGACCACTCTGCAGACTTAACAGGAAAGCCAAAGCGGTCACACCCAGCTCAGTTATATCTTGAATGTTGACGTTGGACCCTGTTTAACCTGTTGGCACAAAAATGTATGTCTGCTAACATAATAGATTGAAAAACACCTCATTTTCTTCCCAAATATTGTGCTTCTGATTCCATTTCTTTTAAAACAGTGATACAAATGTTTTGAAAACATATTTAAAATCAAGAGTTCAGCATTTTTTGGCTTAATCATCCCCAGAGCTGACTCATCATCCTGGTAATAACTTCCAGATGAACTGTGCTGTATGTACAAACAGGCTAAGCGTACCCGGAGCAGAGTGAATGGGTCCTGCTCTTTTAGTTTGTCCTCTATCTCATGGACGGCCCTCTGCAGACGCGAGATCTCCACGCACAGCAGGGCCTTGTGCTCGTCCAGGCGAATCAGCTCTCTTCGCTCCTCCGTCTTCAGCTTCACCTGCAGCAGTTTCTCCTCCTGGTAGAGGAACTGGTGCAGGTCGCTGAACTGGGCTTCGATGCGCTGCTTCAGATCAGCGGTGTGCTCCTGAGTGGGAGATGCACATTGTTACTGGGAGCGACGGTCTATTTCAAAAAGCACAACAGTCTGTGCGCACATACACAAAAGCATTAGAAATCCATGAGGGGAATGAGACGGGAAACTGTGGGTCGAGTGGGTCAGTCTGGATATTTATAGTGATTGTAGCATGCGCAGTGGCGAGGTTTTGATTCCGATGTGTTTCCTCTCACCTTCAGCTTCTTGACCTCGTCTTCAGCTTCTCTGTCACACTGCAGCGCTATGTTGAGCTCAGCTTTTAAAGAGTCCATTGAGCTGTGCAGAGATGCCTGTCAGGGCAGAAACACAAAATCAAAGCATTTTGTTTAGCATTCTCTTTTGCTTAGCCAATTCAGGGTCACAGGGGGGCTTTAGCCTATCCCAGCTGCGAGAGGTGGGGTACACCCTGGACAGATGGCCAATCTGCTGCAGAGCTAACACAGAGACAACCATTCACACTCACATTCACACCTGTCTATGTCTTTGGACTGTGGCAGGAAGGCAGTACTTTGAGAGAATTCACGCATTCAAAGGGAGAACATGCAAACAATGGTGGATTCAAACCCCAGACCTTCTCACTCTGAGGCACCAGTGCTAACCGCCTCACCACTGTGCAGCCCGTCAAAACATACTGACTCCCTCAAAGTCGATGTCTTGTCCTGGGTGATTTGTTGAAAACACAATGGGAAGCGTGATAAATTAGAGCTTACTTTTGCTTTAAGCCTAACCTGGGAGACTCCACACTGATGAACAACACAAGAGGATGCATGTTTGCAATACCAGAAGAAGTTGTTTTTGGGAAATATGCAGCCAAGTCTAAAACTTTATAAAAGCAAAAACAGTTTAAACCCCATTAACAGTGATATTGACTTCCTGCTGAACGTTTAACTGCTGACAGGCACTTCATTAAAGCTTAACTCACCCTATACTTCTGTTCTGCCTCCTGGACACACACCATGGTGTGACTTCTGTGCTCCTGGGAGATGCCACACACCAGACACACCAGCTCCTGGTCCTCCTCACAGTACAGTTTCAGCTCCTCCCTGTGTCGGCTACAGCGTGCAACCGGTGCAGGAGCCCTCTCTGGCACCCCGGCATCTGGCAGGCAGGATCCAGTCCCGCTCTCCTCCAGACCCTGACAGTAACTCTCCACTATGTTGGCCACTATACGGTTGGGTCTGTAGCTCGGTCCGGGATACACCTTCCTGCACTGAGGGCAGGAGCCGGCTCCACCTTGCCCGGTGCCCCGTGGCCCTGCCCAGTAACCCTCAATGCAACCCTGGCAAAAGGTGTGATCACAGGGCAAGGATACCGGCTGCTTGAAAAGATCCAAACAGATGGAGCAAGTCAGGTCTCTGCTGATTCTGTGAGCCGAGCTTTTAGCCACTTTTCCAGCTATGGGAGGCTGTCGCGGCTTTTCCATTGCTGTTTGCACAGCAAAGTCTCCTTCTTTAGGTTTCCAACTTTTTTTGTCCGGCTTTATCCCCTGGTTCACTTTCTCCAGGTTCTGCAGATAGACTGACTGGATTTTCTTCACTTCTTTCTGATTCTTGCTCATTCCTTTGCCTTTAGTGTCCTTCTTTGTTCTTACTGTACTGCTGGACTTCTGAGTCCTTCCTCTCCTACAGAGTGTGGCCGCTCTCTTTGGCCTCCAGTTTTCCTGTTGCTGTGGGGAAAACAAGGGGGTGGTGCAGAGGCAGCATGAGCCTCTCACATGCAGATCAGATAGTGAGGGGATCTCAGAGGCCCCCCTTTCCCCCTTAGACTGACGTCAGTCAGGAAATTGAGGCGGACCATGGATATTCTTTCCTTTGCATGTTTGTTTAGTAAAGTCTGCGCAAGTAAAGTCCGACTTCACTAAACTCTTAATCTGCTCTAAGAATAATTAAAGAAAAATGTAAATCCAGTGGATGTGACTGTGTGAGCTCTTGCCGTGAGTGTGTGTTAGAGGGAGAAAGCAGGAAAACATCTGTGAGTAGTAGATAGCGATTTCATCATTCTAATTATGGCCACGATCTCTGCCAAGTAAGTAAAAGGTAGAAGGGTATCATTCAAAACTGTACGCATAGAAAGCTCCACAACAGACAGAGTACTCTTTATCCAGACATAACGTCCAGTAAAGCTTATTTAAAAATCCAAGCTGAGTGAGAAATTTGTGTTTCGCTTGCCAAGACTATCAGCAGCACCACATGGGCCGACTAAATATTACAGGATGTTACATCAGGCTGATGACACTGTAAATGTAGGCATGCTGTGATTATTTAGTGCATAATCACAGGTCGGGTGAGTAAAAGCACAGCAGTACTGCATAAATGTTTATACTGAGTGAGAGTTTTTATTTGTTTGCCTGTTTGTTTGTTTTAATCAGCCTGTCTTGTGTGTGCCAATATTCTGATTGCTGCACTCTCTGTAAATAACACTTAGAACCGTGTTCCTCCTATGATGAATGACATGAATATACCTGAAGACGTTCTTGTTTTCTTTTAGAAAACCTTTCAGTCAGTTTCTCTGCCTTTTCTCTGCCTGTACTCTGTGTTATGAGCAATAGGGACATCTGGTGTCCAAAGTGAAACTTTAACTAGAACTAAACTTATTACAGATCAATATGATGAACATCAAATAATATAACTAATATAACTGGGTAAGCAACAGCTATGATTAAGTAAACCCATCTTTTTAATGTAGTACCAGTTGAGGGTGGAAAGCAGGAACCAACACCTAAAGGATTTCAGAAAATTGTTTTGCATTGAATCAGAGTTTTACAGGTGAACAAAGTGCTTGCAAAGTAGCAATATTACAGTGTAAAATCAGTGTGCTGCAAATTAAAGGCATCGCAATACACTCGTGGAAACTTATTAAGTACATCTATTTCACTGCTCGTATCAGCATCACATGCACTTAATCATGTAGACATCAAGAAAACCCGCTGAACTTCAAACTGACCATCAGAATGGAAAAGGGTGACTTAAGTGATATTCTGGGATTTTCCCACAAAGCCATCTGTAGGGTTTCCAGAGAATCGTCCAAAAAAGAGAAAATACCCAGTGAGCTGCAGTTCTCTGGTGAAAACGCCTTGTTGAGAATGGCCAGGCTGCTTCGAGTTGATAGGAACAGTGACACAAATAACCACTAATTACAACCAAGGTGTGCAGAAGAGCATCTGTGAACACACTAGATTTTCAAGCAAATGTGCTAAAGCAGCAGAAGATGGGGGTGAAGTGATGGTGTGCAGGATATTTTCTTGGCACACTGGGCCCATTAGTAGCATCTGAGCAGAAGTTAAAAGCTACAATCTACCTGAGTATTGTTGGTGTTGTTGCTGACCATGTCCATCCCTTTATGACTACTGGTGGAACCAGAGAGACTTCGTCTTTACCATAAAGAATTAAGGCAGCTCTGAAGCCAAAAAGAGTCCAGCCTAGTACGAGCAAGGTCATACTAGGCTACGAATATTTATTTATGAATTTGTTATATTTCATTTCCTTATGAATGTTGTCAGGTAATTGTCAGGAATCCCAATTAAAGTAAAATGATATCACATCTTTCTTCTCCTCTGTATTTTTACACCGGCTGTCCTTGCGCCTCTTATCTTCCTACAGGTTTGCCTCACTGCTGCAGACACTTAAGTTATTTTTAGCAGCACAAGTTCCAGAGAGCCTCCAGTTTCCCTGGTGCCTTACACATGAGCTCCGAGTTTAATTGAGGGTGTGTGCTCAGTGCGGACGTGCTTCATGTGTGCGTGTGGGAGTTTCTTTTATTTTCTATCTCGCCTCATGAATGTTGCATTTTTTGTCCCCTCTAAATTTGCCACAAACACTCACATGCATGGCTGCACGCATTTATGCACATATCCGCCCTTTTGTTCTCAAGCTCTGCCACAAATATCTGCTGATACTCGTCTGTGAGTATCATAAGAGGCAAACCTACCTGTTTCTGCAATATTATTAAAATATATAATAATAATGGATCGCATTTATATAGCGCTTTTCGAGACCCTTATAGCGCTTTACAATTCCACTATTCATTCACTCTCACATTCACACACTGGTGGAGGCAAGCTACAGTTGTAGCCACAGCTGCCCGGGGGCAGACTGACAGAAGTGAGGCTGCCATCGGCCCCTCTGGCCAACACCATATATCCAAAGCTTTAGATGGACTATCAAAGGATAAACACGTGCACATGATGCGCATGAGGTTTTACAGCCTCATAGGAATGAGCACATTCAAACACTCTCCCCAAAGGTTCAACAGGATGAAAATACAGAGGAACCAATATTAAAATCATCACAGCCTTTGAAAGAAAAATTATACTTGTCCTTTGAAGACTTGCTTTATACTGTCTTTTGCGCTAATACATATAATAAACAGCGTATAAATCGCAAGTATTCTGTTCAAAACAACCTGTAAAAGCTATTATTATCATTATTATTAAAAAGCTGCAGGCATGTTTTTCTTCAGTGTCTGTTTAGACACAGGATCTTGGCCATGTTGGACGCTGCATTGTGTTTTGTTTTTTTGGGGGTTTTTTTAAGCAGCAGGAGGAACATTTCCAGGAATACAAAGATTCCTTCCACCACGATGTCTTTGTCCTCTTCACCTCTGCCTTTTACTTCCACAGCCTCTCTGTCGATTTGTCTTTTATTAAGTGAAATACCAAAATTGCCGCTGGAGTTTTGCAGCATGGCTGTATGGCTTTTAACAAGTGCGACGTGTCAGACTAGAACTTCTTCATTCACCCCACTCAAATTTTTTGACCCACGAGTCTTCCAGGAACCGTAACATTGAGGCATTTCAACATCTTAATTAACTCAACAACCCTTAACCCCTCCCCTGTGTTAATTATGTGCCGGCATCCCCGAGCAGCTTGAAAGATGTTGTCATGGACATTTTTTTTATTTTTGACTCCTGAAGGTTAATTACACTCAGTGCCATCATTTTATTATTTTTTCCACCAAAGCCTCATCATGAATGTGGAATAGAGCAGATAAAAGTTTCATATCATACTGGCTTTCTTCTCTTTCCAGCCATTGAACATCATAACTAATGCAGCACATGCAGCATATGCGACCTGGGTTTTTCTTTGCAGGGTTTACTTCACTGGACGTATCACTATGTGTGCATGTAAAACGTGAAACAGCAGCCACAGAATCACTACGTTCAAAACAATTTATGAGATAGTTTTCCCACTGTGCGTTGATAAACTGTGTTTCTTTGACGCATGGTGTATACTTACTTTTTTATTGTTTTTGGATACCATGAGAACAATCTCCGACTTCTAAAAACATTAATTCTCTGTATAAAAATGTTATGGTGCTGCCAGACGCCTTGTCTTTTCTGTCTCTCTCCGCTCTCACTGTCTCTCCCCCTTTCCTTACCTGCAGAGTGATGAACTGTGTGGATGCAGGCTGGGATGTTTTTCTGTAAGACAAAAGGCCCTTCCCTCACCCGCCTGCCCACTCTCCACTAAATGCTAGTGGTTTCCAGTTTGTAATATTACTGACCAGCTCTATCTTCAATTGCAACAACAAAGACATGTGTCATTAAAATCAACCTCCCTTCCAGTTCTGAATGAACAGTTATTTGTAAAGCTAACCGGCTAATCTGTCATTGTCTTCTCTTTTTTGCTCTTGCTCTCTCCGCCTTTCCCTTCCTTTATCTCCAGGGTGTAGGGAATACCAGAATTCTACCCAGAACTCATGGACATCACCAACTGCCGTGTTTCTGGCCTTGTCACCTTCCTGCAGGCCTTTCATGCTGCCACTTTCAGTTGCTGCTTCTTCACGGGTCTTGCTGCCCTCAGTTTTGTCTTCAGTAACTAAAAGGTAGGTTAAACCACGTTGAGATCAGGTGGTGGCCACCTGATCATTGCCTTTCTCAAGGCAATGATCAGGTGGCAATAGAGGTTGCTTTGGGTCGCTGTTGCAACATTTGGTTGAATCTGAGCTGCTTATAGCAGAGTACACTTCAGACTTCATCCTGTTACTTCTATCAGCAATTGTGTCATCAATAAACACTAGTGACCGAGTTCCACTGGCAGCCATATGTGTCCAATGAAGCCCAGTGAACAATGGGCTGGGAGGTCAGTTCCTTGATCATTAACATGCAAATTGTCATGACCATTGATCAACAATCACTAATCAAAGCTCATTGATTCAGTGGGCTAGTTCCCGTCATTGTGCAAATGTAAGGCATTTCTTGATAGTAGACCTTGACAATGATATATTCCCACGCATAGTTAAATCACATAATAATTGTTCAGTTTAAAATTTAAGGTGGTGCGCATAAGGCAAACCCAAAAACAACAGCAGATGTGTGCGTGTGTGCGTGTGTGTGCGTGCGTGTACGTGTGTGTGTGTGTGTGTGTGTGTGTGTGTGTGTGATCCTGTATACGTGTAGTAGTCTAGAAAAAAAAATGCTCTTAGATTACAGATCAGTGCCCTAGTTTTTCTGTCTGCTCCCTTACAAACACAAACA